TTCCACATGTCCTCCATCATTAGCAATACAAAGGGTAATACGATTTTTTCAGTTCACGGAAAACATTTGTCAACTGATTTACAGTAATGGCTGAAATCGCATTAGTTATTTTAGCTATACTTAAAACTAGGAGCATTAAAATTTATAACATTTTATACAGATTATTTCTATCGCAAAAACAAATGAAGTTATACATTTTTTAAAGTGTACAGGAACATTGTGGACACTCAGTATGCATATATATATATATATATATATATATATATATATATATATATATATATATATATATATATATATATATATATATATATATATATATATATATATATATATATATATATATATAAAGTTAAAGATCAAATACAGGTCAAACATGGATCGGAATCCGACAGGATGATAAGATGAAGAACAAATCGGAAAAATTATACAAATCTAACATATTTCATTTTTATTAATTATTCGTCAGAGATGAAGAGAGAAAACAGACAGACAGAACTTTGTTATTTTAAATTTTATTTGGCTCGATTCACATTCGTCAGTTAGGTATCACATGGATTAAAACCGTAGATAATTCTAGATGTACGTAAATTTGTATTACGAATAGACATTACCATCCGATGCCCGCTTAGACATAATAATTTTTTACAAACTATATATATATATATATATATATATATATATATATATATATATACAGGCCGTGATAGGTAAATTGTCGCTATTTTATATTCATAATTTCATGGAAGCGCATAGTTTTGGATTTTGTTGATTACGCAGTATAGTAGGGTCAGTTGGGCAACTTTTGTGAGGAAAAGAGCACTAAGACGCTTTCCACTCCGCCAGAAATTTGGAAACGGCATGCTGTACTGATTGGAATTCAATACCAACATTTCAGAGTGCTTGGGTGTCAATCAGAGGACAGTGCAGAGGATTCGCTGAGTTTGATGAGTCTAATGGTGATTACGAAGATGTTTTTTGTTCTCACTGGTGATGGCAACGTTATTCATCTTCCCACGGGGTCACAGACCCAACATGGAGGCCTACATCAAGTACCTTGAGGAGATAGTGCTGCCGTGGGTCAAGACGTTGGGTGCTGCAAGATACTATGTTTGGCAACAGAACAGAGCGTGTCTTTATCAGTGTCTGTGTGTATGGTAACTTGGATGCACCTTTCATTGTGCATGTATGTATGTTTTGTATTTTTTTGTTTTCTTTGTAAAGGGTCGTGGAGATATTTCCTGTCTCGTCACTTTTTTCTGTGTATATATTAAAAATATGTCTGCGTGCTTATGTATTATAACCGTACTGTGTATGATTGTCTTTTGCAAGATGTCATCCTACCTATATTTAGAATTCAAATGTATCTATGTTGTCATGAAGTTCTGAAAAACATTTGATATTAACGTTTATTCCAACTTAATTTCTATAAAATCAAAATAAATAGAATAACATATGTATTTTTCTTTTTTCCTCAATATTTTTATAAACCTAAAACTTAATAGAGATTAAATTTAAATTTTAAAATGGGTAATATTTAATTTTTAATTTCAAATTTTATTGTATAATTTAATACTTATTAGTTAGAATAAATTATATTTTAGTCTCTAACCCCCAACATTAAGGCATTAAATAGCTATTATAATCTTAGTTCGTTGTAAAGTTTTTTTGAATTCTCGTATACTTGTATTTTGATTGGTCATTCCAGCTCATGTAACAGCGTTTCCCCTTGCAAGGGGTGTTTGATTGATATGAACATTTTAAAACCCTTTATTCTACATTCAACATCATCACTTGATAAGACACCAGAGGTGTTGAAAGAAAATAGCTATTTTGTAGTAATTTTATATAATATTTATGTTATAACTTTTCGAATAAATAAATAATATATATATATATATATATATATATATATATATATATATATATATATTATAAGAGATTATAATAAAACCTTTTTAAATCGTTGCACAAAATCTTTCATGTCTAAATACGATGATTATACTTCCTCAGGCGATGGTATGTAACTAGTTATAAAATGACTTTTTTAGGGAAATTTAAAAACAGGTCGTTACCTTTTTTCCTAAAGTTAAAAGGCGGGGCAAAAGGTCAGAAATTAAAAATATACTTGAGGCGTTGTCTCGATTAACCAATTATATGTCGGATCTACACGAAATAGAAAAACAAGATCAGAGGGTGGAGGTGGGTGAGGATAAACTGGAATATATACATGACATCATTGACGATTGCGATTTACTACATTTGATTTTTCTCTCATATATATATATATATATATATATATATATATATATATATATATATATATTGATGCATGTTTCATTAAATAATATAGACAAGTTTTGTCTATTTAAGTCAGTTCCTTTCATATTGTCTGATAAGCTTAATCACATTATCGTTGAAAGTCGAAAGGCAAGCACCATATTGATACATGCGTAAATCCAATCTAAGCTTTCGGCTGACATAAGCCATTATCAAAGATGACAATTACTTTTCAGTATATCAACCAATACACGGACGAAACAATAATGATAGTCTGTTTTTGATAACCCAAATAAATAAACAAATAAACGACTTCCGGAAAAATAACCGCCAAAATAGACTACCCACAATGCACCACTGACCCGTATATATAAATATCCGAGAAAAATAACAGCACTCTTGGCCTGACGATTGCGTCTAGCATGAAACAGACTGTCGCCTCTAAGTTTTGACTTCAATGTTCACTTTTATATATATATATATATATATATATATATATATAGATAGATAGATAGATAGATAGATAGATAGATAGATAGATAGGCTGGACTTTAACGTCGTTTTATGCGCGTGAAGAAACTCAGTTCCGTGAAACCAGACACCTGCACAGATAATTTGATAATATTGGTGAAGGATTTGTGTAGAAACAAGCACACTTTTTGAAGAACCACAAGATTGGTAAACAACTCCCCGCAGGTTTTGAATTCAGAGTTGCCCTTCTCCTAGACCAGTTGCCATCCAAGGCAGTCTGTCCTTCTATTTACCCATAACTGTTGGAGGGGGTGGTGAGGAGAAGAGGAATTATACCTTTCCGAAGGGTATTAGCACATAAGTGAAATAAAATTGATTCGACTGTTTTTCAAACTCGATATATATATATATATATATATATATATATATATATATATATATATATATATATATATATATATAATAGATTCTGCTGATCCGAATCTTCTCGTAGCAGCTCTGACTTAGTAATTGTCTAGATCTGATCATTTTAGTGCATATTAGCATAAACTTTCAGAGCAAAAACTCATAGTGTCTTAATCTCTTGAAGGTCAGTATCTACTATGATGATAGAAAGCCAAAGAAAATCGTTTTCTTAAGGTAATTAAAAGACAGGAATTAAGGTTTGGCGTCATTAAACATAACAAGACTTTCCAAAAGACTGAACATTATTTTGAACATCAATTCTATTTTATCGTCGACATTAACACAAGAGTAAATTGTACTTCCATATGCATAGATACATTCTCGAGAATTGATAGGAATTAGAAATAAAGTCGGTCAAAGGGATCCCTGGTAGCACCCGCACTTACATAAAAAACCATAAGTGTGGCCGTTCAAGTCAAAGTTCATTTCGCGATTTAAAAAAAACGAAAAGATTGAATTAGATTAAAAATTCGAGCAGAAGTACCATAACCATGAAACCTGGGCAAAAGAATAGCGTGTCAAGAACAAAGTCCGAGATTCTTCAGTTTTATCCGAAAACTTGACAGACATATTTGGCAATAATCATTAAAACATCGACTTAGAGAAGCAAAAACCATATTGTTTGTCTGACAGAAGACCCTACGAGGTGATATGCTTAATCAATTCGGAATCGGTTAGAGATTCTAGTACTTTGCCAAAAAGCGGAAGAAAACTAATAGGTCGATAGTTCTCAGGATCAGACGGTTCGCCAAGATTCTTAATAGCAGGAACTACAGAAATGAATTTCCAACAAGCTTGAAAGCATGAAAAAAGTCAGTTATTGTGCAAAGTAGACAGAATAGAACACACACACACACACACATAGATAGATAGATAGAATGTGGGTATGAAGACATTGTGTCCATCTATGTTTAATCATTCATCATATCAAAAGCTGCAAGGATCTTTGTTGTTATAAAATCTAGGCAAAAAAACAACATGTTTCAAGAAAGAGTGAAAACTATTAATGTAACACTTAATGTAAGTTGACTAAAAATAATGTTAAAAATGAAAAATTGAGAATGAAGAAAATCATTTTTGAACAACGAGCAAAGTTTGTTTTCTGATATTAGAATAAAACAAAGAAAGAATGTGGTAAACAAAAATTTTTTTTAAATAATTAAAAGATAACATAAAATTAGAAATTAGAATGTGGCTAAAAATACAAAATTAAAAGGTAATAAACATGAAATTATAAATTATAATATAGCTAAAAAAATAAGAAGGTAGCTTACAAAACCTTAGAAAATTTGAAGGTAGTTCATAAAAACTTAAAATATTAAAAGGAACCTTACAAAAAGGTCGCGAATATAAAATAACAGATTAGAAAGGTAGCTAAAAAAAAACATTAGAAGTTGGCAATCATAAAATTCGAAAATTTCCAAATCATAAATTCAAGAATAAAGGTAGAATGAAGATAATGAGAAAGAAAATTCCAAAAACATAAAAATATTGAATAAAGAAAGAGGCGACAAATAGAAAGGCGGGAAGAATATTACTGCGTATAAAGATTAAATAAAAGAATAAAAGTTTGAAGGAAGGAAGGAAGGAAGGAAGGAAGGAAGGAAGGAAGGAAGGAAGAGAAGGAATGTAGGTAGGAAGGAAGGAAGAAAAGGAAGAGAACTAGGAAGAAAGGAAGGAAGGAAGGAAGGTAGGTAGGTAGGAAGGAAGAAAAGGAAGGTATGTACGAAGGAAGGAAGGAAGGAAGAAAGGAAGGAAGGAAAGAAGGAAGGAAAGGAAGAGAACTAGGAAGGAAGGAAGGAAGGAAGGAAGAGAAGGAAGGAAGAAAGGAAGAGATGGAAGGAAGGAAGGACGAAAATGGTAAGGAAGGAAGGAAGGACGAAGGAAGGAAGGAAGGAAGGAAGGAAGGAAGGAAGGAAGGAAAGGAAGAGAACTAGGAAGAAAGGAATGAAGGAAGGTAGGAAGGAAGAAAAAGAAGGTATGTATGATGGAAGGAAGGAAGGAAGAAGGAAGGAAGGAAGAAAGGAAGAGATAGAAGGAAGGAAGGACGAAAGAACGAAGGAAAGTAGGTAGGAAGGAAGGGAAGGAAGAGAAGGAAGGAAGAGAAGGAAGGGAGGAAACACGAAGGAAGTAAGTAAGGTAAGTAGGAAGGAAGGACGAAGGAAGGAAGGACGAAAAGAGTAAGGAAGGAAGGCAGGTAGGAAGGAAGGAAGGACGAAGGAACTAAGGAAGGAAGGAAGGAAGGAAGGAAGGAAGGAAGGATGGAAGGAAGGAAGGAAGGTAAGGAAGAGAAGGAAGGAAGAGAAGGAATAGAAGGGAGGAAGGACGAAGGAAGTAAGGAAGGTAAGTAGGAAGGATGGACGAAGGAAGGAAGGAAGGACGGCCGAAGGAACGAAGGAAGGTAGGTAGGAAAGAAGGGAAGGAAGAGAAGGAAGGGAGAGAAGGAAGGGAGGAAGGACGAAGGAAGTAAGTAAGGTAAGTAGGAAGCAAGGACGAAGGAAGGAAGGACGAAAAGAGTAAGGAAGGAAGGTAGGTAGGAAGGAAGTAAGGACGAAGGAACTAAGGAAGGAAGGTAGGTAGGAAGGAAGGAAGGAAGAGAAGGAAGGAAGAGAAAGAAGGAAGGAAGGGACGAAGGACGAAGGAAGAGAAGGAAGGAAGGGAGGAAGGACGAAGGAAGAGAAGGAAGGAAGGGAGGAAGGACGAAGGAAATAAGGAAGGTAAGTAGGAAGGAAGGACGAAGGAAGGACGAAGGAAGGAAGGAAGGAAGGACGAAGGAAGGAAGGAAGGAAGAGAAGGAAAAGGAAGCAAGGAAGGACGAAGGAAGTAAGGAAGGAACGAAGGAAGGTAGTTAGGAAGGAAGGAAGAAAAGGAAGGGAAGTAGGAAAGAAGGTAGTTAGTAAAAAAAAAGGAAGGAAGGAAGGAAGGAAGAAAGAAAAGGAAGGGAAGTAGGAAAGAAGGTAGTTAGGTAAAAAAGGAAGGAAGGAAGGAAGGAAGCAAGGAAGCAAGGACGTTTGGAAAGAAGGTTGGAAGCTAGTTAGCAAGGAAGGAAAAAAGGACAAAGGAAGAAAAGAAGGACGAAGGAAGTAAGAAAGAAAGGAAGGTAGGAAGGATGGAAGAGAAAGAAGGAAGAAAGAGAAGGAAGTAAGGAAGGACGAAGGAAGTAAGGAAGGGACAAAGGAAGTTAGGTAGGAAGGAAGGACGGAAGGAAAGGGAGAAAAGAAGGAAGGAAGGAGGGGAGAAAGAAAGGAACGAACGAACGACGAAGGAAGGAAGGTAGGAAGGAATGCGGGAAAAATGAAGGACGAAGGTATGTAGGAAGGAAAGAAGGAAGGAAGGTATGTAGGTAGGTAGGTAGGAAGGAAGGAAGGAAGAGAAGGAAAGACGAAGGAAGGATGGAAGGTCGGTAGGAAGGAAGGAAAAAGGAAGTATGAAAGAAAGGAAGGTAGAAAGGAAGGAAGAGAAGGAAGAATGAAGGAAGGAAGGAAAAGAAAGGAGGAAGGAAGGACGAAGGAATAAAGGAAGGAAGAAAAGGAAGGGAAGGAAGGAAGGAAGGAAGGAAGGAAGGAAGGTAGGTAGGAAGGAAGAAAAGGAAGGTATGTAGGAAGGAAGGTAGGTAGGAAGGAAGGAAGAGAAGGAAAAAAGGAAGGACGAAGGAAGTAAGGAAGGAAGGATGGAAGGAAGAGAGGAAGGTAGGAAATAAGGAAGGAAGGAAGGAAGAGAAGGAAGTGAGGAATGACGAAAGAAGTAACGAATGAATGTTAAGTAGGAAGGAAGGAAGGAAGGAAGGAAGGAAGGAGGGGAGAAAGGAAGGAAGGAACGACGAAGGAAGGAAGGAAGGAAGGAAAGAAGGACGAAGGGAGGAAGAGGGCAGGTAGGAAGGAAGCAAGAAAGAGAAGGAAGGAAGGAAGATAAGGAAGGAAGGAAGGAAGGAAGGAAGAGAAGGAAGGAAGTAATGAAGGAAGGTAGGTAGAATGGAAGGAAGGACGAAGGAAGAAAGGAAGGTAGGTAGAATGGAAGGAAGGACGAAGGAAGGTAGGTAGAATGGAAGGAAGGAAGGAAAAGAAGAAAGAAAGGAAGGAAGGTAGGTTGGTAGGAAGGAAGGAAGGAAAAGAAGAAAGGAAGGAAGGAAGAAAGGAAGGAAGGAAGAAGGAAGGAAGGTAGGTAGGTAGGAAGGAAGGAAGCCAGGAAAAGAAGGATGGACGAAGGAAGTAAAGAAGGAACGAAGGAAGATAAGTAGAAAGGATGGAAGGAAAGAAGGAAGGATGGAAAGTACGTAGGAAGAAAGAAAAGGAAGGGAAGTAGGAAAGAAGGAAGGTAGGTTGGTAGAAAGGAAGAAAAAAAGGTATGTAGGAAGGAAAGAAGGAAGGAAGGTAGGTTGGTAGGAAGGAAGGAAGGAAAAGAAGGAAGGAAGGACGAAGGAAGGATGGTACGTAGGTAGGAAGGAAGAAAAGGAAGGAAGAAAGTTCGAAGGAATTAAAGAAGGATCGAAGGAAGATAGGTAGGGAAGAAGGAAGGAAGGAAGGATGGAATGTAGGTAGGAAGAAAGGAAAAAATTAAGAAGAAATAAGAAAGAAAGAAAGGAAGGAAGGAAGGGAGGAAGGAAGGAGGAAGGAAGGAAGAAAGGAAGAAAAAGGAAGGTAGGAAGGTAGGAAGGAAGAAAAGAAGTTATGTAGGAAGGAAAGAAGGAAGGAAGGTAGATAGGATGTAGGAAGGAAAGACGACGGAAGTAAGGAAGGAAGGAAGCAAGGTAGGAAATAAGGAAAGAAGGAAGGAAGGAAGGAAGGAAGGAAGGAAGAAGGGGAGAAAGGAATGAAGGAAAAACGAAGGAAGGAAGGAAGGAAAGACGAAGGAAGGAAGGAAGAGAAGGAAGCAAGGAAGGAAGGAAGGAATGTAGGAAGGAAGGAAGGAAGGAAGGAAGGACGAAGGAAGTCAGGAAGGAACGAAGGGAGGGAGGTAGGGAGGTAGGAGGGGAGAAAGCAAGGAAGGACGAAGGAAGTAAGGAAGTAAGGAAGGGACAAAGGAAGGAAGGAAGGAAGGAGGGGAGAAACGAAGGCAGAAGAAAGAAAGTAATGAAGGAAGGACGAAGGAAGGAAGGTAGGAAAGAAGGAAGGTGGGAAGAAAGGAAGGAAGGAAGGTCGAAGGAAGTAAGGAAGGAAAGAAGGAAGAGAAGGAAGGAAGGACGAAGGAAGTAAGGAAGGAATGAAGATAGGTAGGAAGGAAGGAAGGAAGGTGGGGAGAAAGTAAGGAAAGTACTTGCTAGCATGCAAAAAAAATCGATAGCTGCATTCGTCACAAGTGGGAAAAATTTAAATCTGCATAGCACTTTACTCCAATTGGCTCATTCGCTTGCTTAAACTCAACGTTGATTCTGATTCCGCAGAAATGGGTTGGGTGTGAAAAAGTATTTGTTGTTAACATTCTTTTTTCATTCGGTTTTTCCAGTTACGAGTCCTTTTTTAAAGCTGATCATTTTGTGTTCATTTTGTTTAGTTCTTTTTTTGTAACAGATTTAATGTTTAGTATAGAGCTTAGAAAAAATTCGCAGTGTGAGATAGGCAAGAAATAAGGCATGTAGCAACATCAGCACGGCAAAGGGCACTCTTTTAAAGGCAAGGAAGGGCAAAAATATTTTAAGTCAAGTGATAGCGATTGCTGTATGAGTCGTACGGTTTTTGAATCAAGCACCGGCAACGCCGGGCCATGCTGCTAGTATGTATGTAAGTTGTTTGCCTTATTAAATATTTTGTTTGCATCTCGTATTTCTATATTTGCATTCAGTGTTAGTGTATCAATGGCTACGCTAATGCTAATATTAATATTGGTGTGCTATTGGAACGCTAAAACACATTATTCTTCGTAACACTAAATAGCCGGTAAGTTATGACTGGATGATTAATCATACTAATAAGAGAAACGAGCCTTAGCCAAAATCCTAAAAGAAGAAAGATCTTGCCAAGTACTGTTTTGCGGGCACATGGAAAACGAACACACTAGGCTGAAAGCCCGAAGACTTTGGCCATCACTGTAGTGCGAAATTCTGAAATCTCAAATTTCAAATTCTGTTGTCATTCAAGAATCTAAACAATTCTAGAATATTTTGTTTGAAAATTAAAAATTGGTAGACGAGATATTCTCATATTTCGATGCTATCATCTTTCAACCGTTGAAAACCTGATACATTCGTCTTTTGAAACTATCAAATATTTCATTGATAAATGTCCTCGGAACAATTTTTAGTAAGTATATTATGACCGCTGAGTTGAGTTTCATCATCATTATTATCATCATTGTTAGCAGCATCGTCATCAGTCCCGCGAAGTTTCAATCGTCGAAGAGGGTGCTGACGTCAGAAGAAAGAGACTTCCATTCTTCGTCCTCGTGGGTTTTCGGATAGTTTGACAACGCCCATCCAATCTCAAAGCTCTAGAAGACCACGAAATATGATGTGGGTCTTCCTCGGTCCGTACACTCGGATTTTAAATTCAGCGTTGGCCTTTGAACTTCTAGAGACAAGTCTCTCTCTCTCTCTCTCTCTCTCTCTCTCTCTCTCTCTATCTATCTATCTATCTATCTATCCCTATCTCTATCTCTGTAAAAAAAAAATTAAATAAAAATAAACGGACCTAAAACCAAAAAAAATTATTTAATATTAAAATCTATTATGAATTCAAAAATATTTCATATTAAAGTTAGGTGAGTTTTACGTTTCATATTAAAGTTAGGTGAGTTTTACGTTTTATATTTAAAATAAACGGTTATTAAATGTTTCGTTTTATTTTATATTTAAAATAAACGAGTCATTAATTGTATTTCAAATTTTGCATTAAAATAAACGGACACAAAATAATTTAAAAACAAAAAAAACACACAGTAATCACCCTGTATGTATACTATAAAATATAAATCCCAACTTTAAATAAAAATTAATAATTTTTATACATTTTCAGATCCGTCTCTTTTATTATACATATTTTTTATTAAATAAAATCAATCCCTGTTTATTTCAAATATAAAAGAATATATTAACCTCCGTTTATTTTATATATAAATCCCGTCTATTTTAATATCTAGTCTTGAAATGAAAAACCGCAATCCCCATATAATATAAGAATTGCACCAGCATTGCATTAACGAGAAATTTTTATTAACGTTTAAATTATGTAACGGTCAGTCTCTAGCAGGCACCAGAAGATTTCGTTGTGCAGGAAACTCCGAGTCGTGAGGGATAATATGTATATTTATTAATATATACCAGAGAGTGGGGGCGCATATTTTTTTTTTTTTAATAAGAATTCTTGAATATTCAGGCTGGCATAAGCAAATAAATATACTGTTCAAAATAAACAGTCGACTCAAATATGAGTTTCTACGAATGCATGTAAGATTTCCCAGCTCTAAGTTACTTTCAGGAAAAGGTTTATCAATCAAATGTAGGAGCATCTGGCCTAACTTAGTACTGACTAAAATTCTATATTAGTAGTACTAAGAGAATAAATACCTTCACCAAGGCTAATAGCAACTAAGTGAATGTAATGAACTCAACTGGAATTTGAACTCTGGTCTCCGATCAATCAATCCGACCCGTTATCCACGACTCCACCGTATCTCCTTGTCTTTATATACGGCCCTTCAAAAACTATGGATGGTTCTACAGAAAACCTTCACAGCTATAATCAAATCTCATGTGCTGATGTCGGGCTGTAGGTTCCGAGGAGCTGATCTGCTTGACACTCATACGTCGAATTCGAAGGGCGAATCGATATATATATATATATATATATATATATATATATATATATATATATAAAGAAGGAACAGTAAGATATATAATCCGGTGTTCTTATAGATATTTCTATTTTTACAAAATAGTGCTCAATGTAAATTTACAGAGCATTAATATTAGAAATTAATTGATTTAAAATATGTTTTTTTTCGCTACACATTTCTAACCATGCTTCAAAAATGGAAGCTAAAAGCTTAGAATTTAATTTTGTAAGCGAATTTTGGAGTAACTTATTTATTACTGGTTTTAAAGGCACAGCAAAAAATCATAATTCACGTTTCCGAGGATACAGAGAAACCCATTCATCCAGACAAAGGGTGGTTGCGTGTTCATTATCGCTGTATTTTGATGTATCAGTTATTAGTTACGTTTTGGTAGGGGGTAGGGATGTATTTTTCAATGAATTCTGACATCCGTTAAATGCATGTCGTCTGGAGTTTTTTAAATTTTATTGTTAACGGCAAAAAATTCTTACGGCATTTTTTCTATCTGTATACTTAAAGATTTTTGGGGGTGTTTAGGTTAGAATACGTTTTACTTAACTACGATTTTAGAAAAAATTCACTTTTAATTTTTAAACAAGTAAAAATCAGTAAAGTTTATTTATATTTTGTCCGGTTTCGAAAAGGACCTATTGGAAATAATAAACAACATAAATTTCCATGATAAGAAATCCTACTTCCAGAAACGTCTAGATAAAATAGTAAAAGGCATTAACGCTACAGATAAAATTTGAGTAAAATCCGACAAAACTGGAAAACTTTTATAAAACAACCATAAAGGAATACAACGACCTAATAAATAAGGACTTACATCAGAACTACAAAAAAGCGAATAAAAATAGTTCTGGATATCAATACAAGCAGTAAGGAAATCACTAATAAACTAAAGATCAGTGATAGAGTAGGTCAACTATATAAAAAAGAATGCTACATAACCTTAAATGACCATAAACCAGATTTTGAGGCTAATCCCACTACAAGGATAATAAATCCAACAAGACCGGATATCGGAAAAATTAGTAAAACGAACCTTGAAAGGGTAAATAGACAAATTAAAGAAAAAATAAGCCTGAAACTTTGGATTAATACCAAGGAAGTGATAAACTGGTTTACTTACATTAAAGAAAAAAACAATTGTCCACTAATGCAATTTGATATTGATAATTATTACCAATCAATATCTAAAGAACTATTCATGAAAGCGTTGGACTTTGCCACCCACTATACGGATATTCCAGATGAAGAAAAGAACATTATTGTAAATGCGAAAAAAATCGGTACTGCTACATAAAAGTGAGCAATGGATAAAGAATTCATATGACCACTTTGACATCACAATGGGATCACTAGACTCAGCTTAGTCTTCTGATCTCATAGGTCTTTTTATATTATAAAACCTTACAGTTCACCGTGATATTAATATAACTGACATTGGTTTGTACAGAGACGATGGTCTTATGGTTTATAAGACCATCGTCTCTGGACAAAATTCCTCGCATTAATAGTCAAGCATTTTCCTAGTGAAAGTAAACTAAGTACTATTTTCAATAAAAACACACTAAAATTGAGTTACAGCTGTACGGAAAACTTAGAAAAAATTATTAAGAAACATAATGCTAATGTCTTAAATACAGATTTATACCAAAATCAAAAAAATTTAGACAATGGAAAAATAAAAATAAAAACTGATGAGGATAAACCAAAATTATAGAAACCCTCATAATTGCCCTCTAAAAATAAATGTCCCACAGAATCATTAGTATACCAATGCAATATCTCTTCGATTGAAAATCCTGAAAACATAAATATATATATATGCTGCACTAGCCATGAGTTTAAAAAATAAGATTCAACCATCATCAAAGTTCATTTAGGATAAATAAATATAAAAATCAAACATCTCTCTCGAAGTACTTCTGGCACCTAAAAGAATCAAATAAAACACCTACAGTAAAATGGAAGTTAATAAGAAAAGCTAGAACATGTAGGTCATTAAATGATCCATGTCCTTTGTGTATACATGAGAAACTATATATTACTAAGTTTATAAAAAATAAAAATTTACTGGATCAGAGAAATGAAATAGCTTTTTTATGCCGTCATTGTCAAAAAAGTTTCCTTAAATAATATTTAAAAATGAAAATAAATTTAAAAATGCGACCAAGTAATATACATACTTGTATTTAATTTGAAAAAATAATTTTATATACTGTAATTAATTCCATTACTTTTACTTGTTTAAAAAAATATAGTCTATTAAAATAACAGTGAAAATATTTTAAAGTTGTATTTAAAATTGTAGTCAAAACGAATTCTAACCAAAACATCTTTTAAAATTGTAGTTAAATAAAACTTATTCTAACTTAAACACCTCTCTCAAAGTCCACCGGCACTTAAATGAATCCAATAAAACACCTACAGAAAAATGAAATTATGATGAAATGCTAGAAGATGTAGGCCATTGAATGACCCATGTTC